GCTGATCACAGAATCAAAGGAGGATGGGGTTGGAGGTTGTCACTAGGGTTGGCTGGAATTCCTGCCTGTCTCCTTACATTAGGTGCCCTCTTTGTAGTCGACACTCCAAACAGTCTCATCGAGCGTGGCCACTTGGATGAAGGAAAAGCTGTGTTGAGAAAGATACGAGGAACGAACAATGTTGAACCTGAATACTTGGAGCTCGTTGAGGCAAGCCGTGTTTCCAAACAAGTAAAACACCCTTTTAGAAATCTACTCATGCGAAGAAATAGGCCTCAACTAGTCATTGCTGTCGCCTTACAGGTATATATGTGTTAGCAAGCAATGCCTCGTTTGTATATACACACTTAAATATATTTCATTTTAATTTTTTTTAAATGCTCGTTGCAGATTTTCCAGCAATTCACAGGAATCAACGCGATAATGTTCTATGCACCAGTGTTGTTCGACACTGTTGGATTTGGCAACGATGCATCCCTGTATTCAGCTGTTATTACTGGTGCCGTCAATGTAATCTCCACTGTTGTTTCAATTTACTCAGTCGACAAATTGGGACGTCGAGTTCTCTTGCTGGAAGCTGGAATCCAAATGTTTCTCTCTCAAGTTATAATCGCTGTCGTATTAGGCATCAAAGTTACTGATCATTCGGAGAACCTTAATAAAGGCTATGCAATATTTGTGGTGATTATGGTTTGCACATTTGTGTCTGCCTTTGCATGGTCTTGGGGGCCTCTTGGATGGCTCATTCCTAGTGAAACATTTCCTTTGGAAACTCGTTCGGCAGGGCAAAGTGTTACAGTTTGTGTTAACTTGCTGTTCACTTTTGTGATTGCACAAGCCTTTCTCTCAATGCTGTGCCATTTCAAGTTTGGCATTTTCTTGTTCTTCTCCGGATGGGTTTTCATAATGTCGTTGTTTGTGTTATTTCTGGTTCCTGAGACTAAGAATGTGCCCATTGAGGAGATGACGGAGAGAGTTTGGAAGCAGCATTGGCTCTGGAAGAAGTTCATGGATGACTCACTGGATGAGGAAAAGGGAAGGGGTGAAAAGGATGTCAAGAAAAATGGACTTGTCACTGGTTTTGATCCTAATTCTGAGTTATAAAATATACAGAAAAAGTTTTTTGTGGCATGATATAAAATGTAAGTACAAAAGCAGATTGTTGTCGATTGAAATATGGTGAATTGATGCATTTTCTGCTACAATAAAGTTGAGTGTTACAACTCAAACCAAAAATTTCAAAAGAACACACAATATCGAAATGACGATTAGCATCAAGATTCGATTGTTTTTGGGCTCAAAACATCATTGTACTCTTCTATACAAAATGAAAACTCCACAAACCTACCCCAAATAGATCGAACAGAGGTAGCTACTACAATGGACCAAAAATCAACCTTTAATGTTTACTCCTCAACCTCTAATCGAAGAATCACAAAGACTCGACACAGATTAACACCCCCAAAATCGGGAGTTTAAGGGATTTACACAAAGTACATGATGAAGAAGACTAGAAAAATGAGAAGCGACATGAAGAAATAGAGAGAAAACCCAGAAGCTTCTCAAACAAAATCAGAAACGAAAAGTCACATAGGACAACCACTCAGGTGGTATTTATATTGTCATTTCATCACCGTTGATTTTAGTAGGGTGATCTAACGGTTTAGAGCAGCACACGTGTCGTACAAGATTAGGGTC